ATTGTACTTTATGTTGAGTGTTTTGTAAAACGCTTTGTTACAGCTGCAGCTGGTGTGAAAGCGCTATATAAATCCTGACCTGCAAGTGACGTGCAAGCATCATGTCGCTGTTTTTTTCTTTTCCTCTTTTGCACCCCCGACTCTTGATGCCTTTTCAACGACATGTTCCAAAAATAAACTTCTGCCAAATTTGTGATTGAAGCATAATGGAACAAACTGCAAGAGAATGAAAGAGAGCGGCTGGGCGGCACCAAAGGTAGACCGATGAGAGGTCCGCACACGAGGTTAATCTTTTTTCGCGTTAATAAGTTATTTTGGTATTACATATATTTATTAACATACTTTACAAACCTTTATACATCAATCCATTTTCTGATTCGCTTATCCTCACAAGGGTCGCGGGGCGTGCCGGAGACTCTCACAGCTGTCTTCGGGCAGTAGGCGGGGGACACCCTGAACTGGTTGCCAGCCAATCGCAGGGCACACACAGACGAATAACCATCCATGCTCACACTCACACCTAGGGACAATTGAGAGTGTTCCATTAACCTGCCACGCATGCTTTTGGAATGTGGGAGGAAACCGGAGCACCCGGAGAAAACCCACTCAGGGACGGGGAGAACATGCAAACTCCACACAGGAAGGCCGGAGCTGGAATCAAACCTTGCACCTCTGCACTGTGAAGCCGACACGCTAACTAGTCGACCACCTGGCCGCCTACAAACCTTTATTATTTATAAATATTGTATATTGTTATGATTGTAATTCCTGTTATGATTTTTTTTTTTAACGAGCTTGATTTTTTTGGTGCAAGGGCTGTTGGTGCCCGACACGCCATGCAATTGTTAGATGTTAAACAGCATGACTTTTTATGTTTTTTCATTCAAATGAACTTAAAATAGTTAACGTGTCGAAGATTTGAATTCCAGCTCAGTCAGGCCTAGCACAAATAAATGCAAGCCAAAATGTAACTTTGGTACTTACTACTGTATAAAGTGAGCTGAGTTCAATAAATAAATACAAATAAAAGCTTTCAGTGGAAACATTATTTACTTTAACGTGACAAGGAACTATCATCCCAAACACAGTTTCATCAAACTTCAATTGCAATATTAAGTGCACTTACGCTCCCAAGACTAGATTAAAGTGTCCGTTACCACCTCACACATTGGTCTTGGACACTCTGTTCATCTCTGCGCTGAGGTCAGGTCGGAACGCAGCCACATAATCCGTGTATCATTCATTTTTCAAAACACAACGAGGAGTAAAAAACAAACGATTAGTCAATGTTAACTGAAAAAAAATGAAAAAACAGATAACGACCCGTGTTCCAATTTCAGATTTTGTGCAAATGAAAAATGGGAAAAGCGGACCTTCTCTGAAAACCTCCCACCCGAGTCAAGGTAATTTTATGTTTTATCTGCAAGAACAGATGTGACCCTGCGCACGATCTGAAGAACCAACACAGATGCGAATCAGCATTCCTTAGGTAATGGGAAATTTTCAAAAGCCTTCTCTTGAACACTCAACCTCAGGGAATGTGAGGGACTTTAAAATCTTTCTCACACTTGGTGTCAGTGTTTTATAACCTGTTGTGAGGTCGAGAAAGTTGCAGTCGTTGACAGAGCTGTTGAATTTGACCTCTGCCTTTCATTTGCCACTACGAGGAGCTGTTGGTTCTCATGCTAATTGAAAGTTTTACAATAGTGGGTAACTTGTTTTTTATGTGCATTGTTTTCATTTACTTATTTTTTAGCAATTTGTGGGACTATATTTTTAATAATATTTAGTTTGCAAGGTAAATTAAAAGAATACATTTTGCAAATGTAACTTCGAGAGCGCATTCAGGTTACTTCCTGTTTTCTGCCAGCAGAAATCAGATGCCATACGCTGCAGTGTGATAGTCGTCAGCTCGGCGTTGTGCAAGTTGCAGAAATTAAGTGTCATTAAGAAACTAAACAAGTCATATCTAAGTACCCCCGTTTTTTCACTAGCAGGCCAAAGTGAAACCCTCAGTGCAAAAGAACTCTGTGTCTCTATTTATGAACAAGCCGGCATACTCGCTTGCATTGATTTCTGCAGGGATCCTCCTGGTGCCAGATTTTCACGAGTTCTTCCCGGTCAACACCATTAAAGTCAGATCGCCAGGTTTCAAACACTGCGCGATCATATCCAATCATGTCATTGAGGAAATTCTCCACATCACTCTTCATATCTCCCAATGCAGCTTGCTCTAATACGACAGGTGCTATCTGTTCTCCTTTGCCCATCCAAACGATAATATTTGGCCCATACCCTACCACCATTTCTGTCCAATATTATGTCTCAAGAAAGAAACTTCAAAAGACGTGGGTGCTGAAATCAGACCTGAATTCAGAAAGACGGTCTCTCACAGCGCCTCCCTCATCATACCCCATCTTAGGTGTTCCATTAAGCAGTACAAGATGAATTTTAAAGCCGTGTTCTTGACCTCTCGTTTAGCACACGAGAAGCATTCGATCCGTCTCTCGAGGCTGTGCTCTTTCATTGCAGATGAACCAACTTACTCATCGAGTACACATAAGACCGGCGGAGACACTCACGCTGCTCTGTTCTCGTTCAATAACTCTGGCAGAAATGAGAGTAGAGGGCGGGAGGCTCCGCCAGTTTAACAACTTGGGTGTAACCTTGCGCACAACAAAGTAGTGCCATCAACATAATAATAATAATAATAATAATAATAATAATAATAAGAATACATTTTATTTAAAAGCGCCTTTCATGCCACCCAAGGACACTGTACAGACAATAAAGGAAACACAGTTGCGTGCGTCGCACTGAACACAACTCCTCACCTGCCATATAAAGAAAAGTGCCATTCAATAAATATCAATCGCAGGCAGAGAAATGTCAATTAATCAGCTTGCAGATGACACTACCTTTTTTCTGAAGAAATTTGGTCAAATCTCTGTTGTGATTAAAACAATAGAACTAGAACTCGTCTCGGCAGCTTCTGGACTCTACCTAAATTTGAACAAATGCGAACCGTTTTCTATTCATGATTGTAATGAGACTTTTGTATCCAATATACCAATTAAGGAAAAGGTCATCTATCTAACTTCTATCTAGGGATTACCATAATGAAAAATAAGTTAATGAGATGTACGGAGATCTTTGATCCAATCATGGGCGTCATTAGGCCTATTTTAGGGAGGCTTCAGCCTCCCTAAAAATGTCTTTAGCCCCCCTAAATAATTTCATTGCATTATTTAAAAAAAAGTATTATTTATTTTTCCTGTACTTTTGCTAATATATTGCATCAAATTCAATGGAATGTGGCCATTTTAAATTATATTTCGCATGGATATTCGACAGTTTTTTTAGAAAGGTAAATTAAGTATTCAATGCATCCATGCTGGTAAAACTAGTGACTATAGTCCGCTAAAATATCTCCAGTAACAGCAGAAACTGCACTGTAACAAGTGTTCACTTTTGGATAAATTAAGGTGGTGCTTAATAAAAATTAAGCAACATTTTATTATTAAATACATAAATAATCATTACACCAACTCTTTGAGGCAACACCTATTGAGATTTTGGCCTATATAAAATAAATAAATAAATAAATATAAAATAAATACATTTATCAGGCTAAAGACGCACAGAGAGTGAGCCTGGGGGGAGCTCTGCTGGACAGGTGAGTCTATCAGATCTCAAGGCTAATTTTACTTGCAAGGCTGTTCCCAAAATGCAATCGGAGCTTACAGTAAGTATTAAGCAGCAAACTTGTGTTTTTCCAAAGTGATGAAGCTTTTGCATCTCATTGTACTAACTTAAATTGCATATCACGGCAGACATCTCAAAATACATAGTCTGCTGGGGGCTAAGCATATATTAATACATTTTGGTAGAGAGGAATATAGGCCTACTGTCATATAGGTTATGTTATCGGGCATCCTTCTAATTCCCTAGAACAACCAAGATTGAACTTTTGAACTCTTTATAATTTCTATTATCTACAGTATTATCTTTATCTTACAGTTAAAGTCCAGGGGAGGAAGCCCCATCATAGTAAAGAGTATACTAATGTGATGTGTGTAAAGTAGTTCTTCATAGCCTCTTCATTTTGCTCTCAAAGTGCACGGAATTGATGGATTTTTAACAGAATGTAGAAAAAATTTCTCCCGGGGGGGCATGCCCCCGGACCCCCCTAAAGGGGCTGTGTTCCCCTTGGGGCTAAGCCCCCCTTGTTCTTCAAACCTAGTGACGCCCCTGGATCCAATTATGAATAAAATTATGGTCAAGTTTGACCTGTGGTTACGTAGGGATCTTTCTCGAAAAGGTTGCTAACAAATGTGGAAGGATTGTCACGTTTTATGTATTACGTATTCTCTTTGTGAATAAGAACATTTGTAATAATGTTGATGTAATGCTTTTTGATTTCTTATTGAGAAAAGAGACTCACGATGTGAAAAGGTCTGTTGTAATGAATACTTATGAGACGGGAGGGAAGGGAGGGGGGACTTCCTTGATTTTACCCCCTAAATAATACATTTAAAATTAATTGGATAAAACAGCTTTTGTGTAATCCCACATCTATTTGGAACTTTAGACCAAATTATATATTTTCTCAAATTGGAGGTCTTAACCTTGTAATTTTATGTGACTACAAAGTAGAAAAAAATCCCTTGGCTTATCCACTTTCCATAAACAAATGCTCTTTGCTTGGTCTTTGATATACAGTATAAACATAAAAATTTCCCACATAAATACTGTATTTGGAATAGCCGTCATATCTTGTATAAGAATCGATTAAGAATCTGAATTTTTTTTAATCAGTTTGACATAACAACCGTAATATGAGTGAGTTAAGTTTTAAATTTCTATTTTTTATTTTGGGAAACATTGCAGTTAAATAATAGGTTTTTTAATACACTATAATTATCCAGACTCACATCTCATTTAAGTAGGTGGCGGTAATGCACCAAAAGTAACAACTAGAAGAAGAAGTAGACGATGACACAACTTCCGGTCGTAACCAAACAAAACATCCGACCAAATTAGCCGAGTCTAGTCTGTTGTCTCGACGATGGGTGAGGCCGACCTGACACAGAACCAAGCCGACGAGAAGCCCCCGGACGCGTCCTTGGTCCCCGGCGAGGAGTCAGTGGTGTGGAGCCACGAGGTGGAGGTGTGCCTTTTCCACGCCATGATCGGACACAAGCCTGTCGGTAAAACGAAATGCTAGTTGTTGTTATCTTAGCTCCTCTGTCTGTTCGTTTTCCTTTTTATCATATAGAATTAATGGTTCAGCATCTTTATCATTCAAAATAATAATTGCCGTGATACGTGCGACTTTTGTGAATATTTTTTATGATTAAATCTAAACCTGAAATAGTTAAAAAGTCCCTCAATTTCTTTACAGTAGTTGTTGACATTTGTCAGGTTTATATTTCGTCTTTTACAATACCGCATACATTCTCGAATAGGCCTAATTTGTTGTTTTAATTTGTTGTAATAAAAAGGCCGTGGTTATTATTGCCGTGACCGGCAGCTGTCCTGCTAGCGTTATTTTATTGCGGTCAGGCGAGGCTCCACTCGCAAAATTGAAGTCAATCCACCCGCCACAGCGATTGTTAATACTGTGCATTACGGTAATCTGTCCAACTAATTCATGCACGGTAGTCGTTTGGACTTGATATAAAGTTATAAAGTAACTTCTCAGAGGTAAAGCAACGATGAGTTCACCCAGGGAGAATGAAAAGTGTCCCAGAAGATCACTAAAAAAAAAAAATTCTGAAGATGTGACAGAAACCAAAGTGAATGTTAACTCCACATCATTGACTACAATTACCAGATTAAAAAAACAAAAACAAAACATCAAAACATGAATTTTCGTTATCCGGGAACCAGACCAGGTCTCGGGCAGACTAGGCCACCCAAGGTATTCAACCAAAGTTATCATTGAGATCTGATTGACCTCTGAAATCTGACCTTGACAACCTGAATTCAAAAAAACTCATTAAAAACGTTTTTGTTATCCCGCAACCAGACCAGGTCCAGGGCACACTAATCCGCCCCAGGTATCCAGCCAGGCTACTTTCATTCACATCTGGAGAAAACCCAGTTAGGCCTGTGGCACTTCTCGATAGGCAAATAACAGAAAAGGCAGCCATTTGTCCCAATCTTTACCAGTATCATGAATGAACTTTCTGAACTGAGATTGGTTGGAGGGAAAGACGACGTGAAAACGCAGACTCCTCGGATAAACTTTTAAAATCTGACTGGTCAAATGAAGCAACTTTGTTCCCTGAAGAGAGTTATCACAACATCCCAAATTTTTTGACTGTACTGAAGAGTGCCTATTCTTGAGAGTCATGTAATTGCCACTTGGAGTCTTATAATTATTTTGTGTCTGGATGGGGCAAGCTTTTTGGCTGGATCTTTGTCTCGAGACAGCAAAGGTACTTTACTTTTGATTGACAGAGTACGTCGATCACACTTATTTGTGTTCGAATAAACTTGTCTTGCTTTTCATCGTCGAAGCTTTTCAAGCGAGCGCTGAGCTTCCTCACTCCTAACAGACGCGCTTGTTTGCAACACATCACTCAGCAGCCATCAAGTCTGAAAGTAAAGTGTTGTGATTGTGTGAAAGTGTGTGCAAGACCGTCAAAAAATGTTCTGTGATACTCTTATCAACGTCTAAAATTTGTATTCCTACATTACTAGCAGATTAATGTTGAACGACAATGTGAACTAAAACTTGAATGGGTATGTCAAGAATCACATCTCCCTTGAAGGTCAGCATTGTGAGTAGCTACAGAGAGTGCAGACTACTGCATGGGCAGGCAACTTTGCTTATCCGGAAAATAACTGGTCAGCATTCAATAGTACGAACAGTTACTTCCATTTAGCGCTTTTACATGTCAAATTGCCATTACACAAACATCAACTGATATTGAGTAATCAGAGCATATCCTTATATGTTGTGATGGTGTAAAGTGGTCACGTTGAAGATTTCATAGATTGATCGTGCTCGTCGTCTCACACAATTTCGTCGTCCACCCCCCCCCCCCACACACACACACACTCCCAACCCACCCACATTCACAACCGGTACCACAAAGTAACATTTCTTATCTCTAGTTGACTAATTTCGAGCAACCATAAAAACAGTAGAGGTGTTCACCATTAATATCTCAACTCAACTCAACTGTATTTATCGAGCACTTTCAAACAGCCATCGCTCCATACAAAGTGCTGTACATGGAACAACTAACATATACAACACTAAAGCAATAAATCAGTAACAAAGATGTTAGAAAGCACGAAACAGTAAAACTAAGATCAAATCTGAGTCATGCTGAGTCAAATGCCAAAGAATACAAGTGAGTTTTGAGGCGGGTTTTAAAGATGGGCAGCGAGGGGGCTTGCCGAATGTTCAGTGGGAGGTCATTCAGGAGAGAGGGACCAGCAACGGAAAAGGCTCGATCCCCTCTGAGCCTCCGTTTAGTTCTTGGTACTTCTAATAATGCCTGCTCCGCAGACCTGAGGCGCCGGGCAGGTGCGTAGCGGCGGATGAGCTCAGAGAGGTAAAGTGGCGCAAGGTCATTTAAAGATTTGAAAACAAATAATAATATGAAGACAAATATAACAAACATAATTAAAATACATCCAAGTGCAATTATCTTTGAATTGAATACATTTGAATTGAAATGAACAATAAAATATCTTTGATAAATATGGCCCCTGCCCCTAAAAAAACAACAACAGTATTTTGCCTCTTTTATCTCATTCGGCTGCCTGCCCTCAGGCTGCACACTGCGTACAAATGTTCAAACGGTAGGGGTCTATTAGAACACAGAATAAAATATTTTAGGTGTCCAAATGTTCCACCTTAATTACAAATGCATATTCATGTGAGTATCTCGCCCATTCTCACTCTCACCTGTATGCAAAGCAATAGGAATTACTACAATATGTTCCTGCAGATACTTTAAAGGTGTTGATGTAACTATGAACTATGAATCATTTTGATTTCAATGGAGTTTGCAGTGCTTTAGGATTACAATTAAAAATGCTCTTATATTTTTTTCTTTAGGATTACAATTAAAAATGCTCTTATATTTTGTTCTTTCACATGGCGTGATATTGGTGCGGTATCGGCTCGGTATTGAGGGCTAAAAAAATGGTAACACAAATAAGCTGCTCCTTCTTTTTTGGCCTGCCTGTGTACTGGCGCTATCACCGCCAAATGTCCAACATAAGAACACCAGTCGAGTGATCACCGCTCCTCACGAACATGCTTATATGAACTTGAATTTTGTGTTTTAGGAATATTGTATTGTATTGAATAATCTTTAAGTGGAAGATGTCATTTGTTCACATTTTGTGATGCGGCACATGTTATATGTCAATATACAGTATCTAAGATTGGAGCAGATTCAATTTGGCGTGTAGTTTGGGTGAAGGCAACTCTTCTTTGAACAATTGTCATAGCACCGTCCAGCATTAAAAGTAACAAGTACAATGCAGGCACCCATGGACAGATGTGTTTGCAGAGGATCGTGGGACATGGAGATCCAGTGACAACGTTGCATGTTCTAGACAAGATGGAGCCGGCGCAAGTGGCTGCCTCGGTTACGCGCTCCTTAGTATAAGGCGTAGAAAAAAAAGTAGCGTGTTTCCGGTAACCCGACCGACCGAGAATTTCTACGTCAAAAAAAAGCTTTACGGTCGGCATTTTTTTCAAACAACCCTATACATTTTTGTGTAGAGGGTTTACATCGGTGCAAACTCTCGCGATATTCACGTTGAGCGCGTGCGTCGTTTGCCCTGTCGTCTGTCAACGACATTGAATCATGGCGGCGCCCGTGATCTCCAACGACAGTTTAAACCGCATTTTCTGTGTTACAGTCGCATGCTCGCACCGTAATGTTAAGAAAATAGCACCCATTGATGTGTCGAAAAAATTCAGCGAACTATTTGATGAACACCACGGGCCAAGTAAAAACCGAGGGCGGAGGAGGAGGACGGCGGCGGAGGCGGTGGCTCGCCCCGGCCCCCCGAGTCCGGAACGGGGAGAAAACTAAATAGGTGGCGGCAGCACCGGCCGCAGAGCGGCCGGTTCAATGTCTTCTTGTTTTATGTTTTATTGTTATTTTGTTTAAAATTTTGATGGGGAAAAAAAAAAAGATTAAAAAAAAATACTTTGTCCGACCTACTGACCCTATGCTGAAATTTCATGTTACCGGAAACACACTATCTTTTTTGTTTGGTCTAATCTTTGTTTTTGTCGTTTTCGTTCATTTTTGTCGACCCTACGCCGCTTACTTACTCGAGAAGACTTAAGAAGCATTCGGGAGTCTACGCTCGGACTTTTTTCGCACACGCAAACCGACAAGTTTTTCGGAGTTAATAGCTGGCCCACCACCTTTTACAGCTACTACTCAAGGACTTTCTGTGCAATTGCGCACTTAAAAGTTGTTCTACAAATACTGCTACTGGTCACTTGAAAATGGTCCAACGATTAACTGCACAACCGTCATATTATATTGTACCACTGATCACTTCAGCTCTTCTCGATGACTGCACATTGTCGCACAGCTGTCAGTGGGTGGTACGACTGCACAATGGTACCCTTACATGATGGAAAGTCTATCGATACTTATTTATCATGTCTTCGTTTGTCGTGGTTTCTTGTTATTGCAATACTAGTGTAGCCTATAGTACCGGAGACAAATTCTTTCTGTGTTCTTCATACTTGGCCAATAATGATGATTCTGATGATTCTGATCATTGCTGACTTTGCATCCTCAAGGCAGCAGACAAAAGCATCTACTGTATTCCATTCAGTTGATTGTCTCTGTGTGCATGCGCAGGAGTGAACCGTCACTTTCACATGATCTGCATCCGAGACAAGTTTAGTCAGAACATCGGCCGCCAGATCTCCTCTTCGGTCATCTGGGATCATCTTGGAACCATGTATGACATGCAGGCACTGGTAAGGATGCACAAACGCATGAACACACATAAACTTAAAGTGTCGAAGTAATAAACACTGCTAAGAGTAGCAATGTGACAAGTTTTTTCCATAAATGACAATCTGCCAAAATGCAAAGTCTGGTGGGAAAGGCCACTTCAGACAGATTACAAAAGTCAGTGAAGGTTTCCGGATCAATTGTGCTTTTTGCGTGGAAGGTAAAAAAAAGTGTTTTGGGGGAATGCTTTTGTATTATTTCGCCCCTCTAATTATCTGGTTCAAAGAAAGCACCATCAAATTACAGTAAAACGTAATTTCACTATTTTTCAACATCGCTTGACAGATCTTCACACATTTTTGTAAGTGGCCATGCTGAATTCAATTTTGAACTTATTCTTTCAAAGATGGTCATTCAGATGACATAATTAACATTAATTTTGCAGACTGAAGGTTGATTTATTCATTTTTTTAATGCTTCCCTCCCAAAGCAAAATAATGACGCTGATCTAGTTATCAGTGTTGTGTCCAAGGACCGGCAACCCGAGGCCAAGGCCAAGGCCAAGGACTTGCCTCCGAGGCCAAGGCCAAGGCCAAGGACTTGCCTCCGAGGCCAAGGCCAAGGCCAAGGACTTGGAAAATTTTCCGAGGCAAGGCCAAGGCCAAGGACTTGAAAAATTTTCCGAGGCCAAGGCCAAGGACCAAGGACTTCCTTCCGAGGCCAAGGCCAAGGACCAAGGACTGATTTTGAAACTGAGGCCTAGCCAAGGACATGTATAAAACAATGCTATCATACCACTTGGCAGGTCCTCATGATTTGCAACACCCCTCCATCATAACCCTTTGCACTCCCTAACGCTTGAATGAAGTGATTTTATTCAAAGAGTAGAACAGTCAGGGTACGTGTTATTTATACTGAGAAAAAGAAATAAAATCATATGATATACATTTATGAATTAATGTTTTAGTGCAGTAGTTTCTTAAT